TAGTTTTCCTTGTTCTATTTCCTTCTTTCTTTGTTTTTTTTTTTTTTTTTTTGTTAAATGAGTTGATAATTTCCTAATTTACAATCTAAAGTAATAGTTTTAGAAACTTTCGAATTAATTAACAAATTTTCATTCGCTTCTTTTTTCTCACTTCTAACATTTTAACTTTCCCAATAATGGACCATTTGTGCATGTTTTGTGCACTTCTTTCTTTTTTTTTATTTTCATTCCCCGAAAATGGATTTAAATTGCTCAGCTATTCATCGAACCAATTTGAATGTAAGCATTGGATAACAATCGATCATGACAAGCAAAACTTTTTATTCAGTCAAACATTTGCAAGCAAAAAATTTCTGCCATTTATCTAATATGATGTATATCACATTGATATCTTATTATCTATCCATTTATAATGTATGTTACATTGATACTGCAACATGTATTTAATTATATGATGTATATCACATTGATATTTTAACATTTATCCAACTATTATCATTATGCAGTAAAAAAAGAAAAAATTATTTTTTTTTCCTAGAAATAAATCTTGTTAGCTTTTTTTTTAAAGTATTTAATTTCTTTTTTTTTGACAATGAAAAAAGGGAAAAAAAAGAAAAGAATTATATAAGTGTAATAAGCATAGGTAGCAGTAATAAAAATGTCTAAATTAATTTATTTCCCATAATATTACTGCTTTCATACACAAACTGTTACAGAAAATTATTATTGTAAACACAAAGTACACTTCGTTTTCTTCCTTTAAAAAAAAAAAAAAAGATAGAAAATTGTTTCTTTTCTTGTTGGTATTTGACTAATATCATTGAATTCAAATGTAATATTTCCCAAATGTACAGCTCTTTCAAATGTAAACTCATTGATGATTTGACAATTTTGAATTAATATCAATCATTTCGATATATATATATATGTTTTCAAAATTGCAAATTATCACTGGAATTTATCAATCATTGAAACGATACCATTTTATATTCCCATTTTGCTATTATTATAATTTTAATATTGATTGTCAACTTTCCTTTTCTTGTTTTTCTTTCACATAACAAATATAAAAAAAAATTTTTTTTTGGCATTTAATTTTATAATGGAAGGAAAAAAAAGGAAAATTTAAGCATGCAAAACACAGGAGAAAACAATAAAATTATTAACTGCTTTTTTTTTTATAGAACTTTTTGAATGAACATTGAACAATTAATTATTTAAACTAATTATTTAGCATATCATCGCCTGATTTCGGCGACATATTTTAAAGTGAATTTATCATAGTTTTGAAAATGAAAAGAATAAAAAAAAAAGACAGTGCATACAACTATTTTTTGTAACGAAGTCTTTAAAAAAAATAAGGAAAGAGAAACTTTTTTTTTCCTTTTAAATGATGAAATTAAATTTAACATCAAATATGACTCGTAACATAACTCACTAATGTTAATTGGTTTTTTAATTGCTTCCAATGAGATTCATATAATGATGATTGAAAGAAAAGAAACAAAACAAACAAACTTTTCCAATTATCGAATATAATTTATCTTTAAAAATTAACAACTCTCATAAAACATCATTTCCATAATAAACTTATTAAATATTATTATAGCTATTTTAAAATGAAAGATTTGTTTGGAAAGAAAAAAAATATATATATATATATAAAACGAAAAGTAATTTAACGAAAATTTAATGACCAAAAATCAATCTCCCGTATTTTCTGGATGAAAAGTGATTTCTTCAGTTACAAGAAAAAAAGAAAAAAAAAGGAAAAGAGCTGTAAAAATTGTAACAAAACAAATAAAAATTTTAAAAAAAAAACCAGAAATTAATTTCATACTCTTCTAAATTTATTTATTACATCACTCTTTTCTTCCTTTTCTTTTTCATTTTTTTTTTATAAAATTTTTGCGTAAAAATAAGTAAAATATGAAAAATTTAATTCGGCTTTTTTCCCCTCACTTTTTTGTATTGTAAATTCCGGAATTACTATGTCTCATATATATTGGAATTTATACAATTTGAGGCGAAAGTTTCCTGGACAAAAACAATTCGCTAAAAGAGCGAAATTTGACAACGTAATTTTGATACCTGCAACGTTGCAAAACGGAATCGTTTTACATACGGTTAATGACTGGAATTGTTTCATCCGGAATAGTTGCATTAATTTCAATTCTAAGAGCTGAAATTTATTAGATCATTGAGGTATGCTAATAGTTGTTTATTATTAGAATGCTGAGATTTGCAAATTAGTGATTGAATCAGGTGTAATTTATGGTGGAAAAAATTTTTTTTGAAGAATTTATATAGCATAGAATAAACTATAGATTGAAATTTTAGAGAAACTGTTGACAATTTGAAATATTTCAAAAAAGAAAAAGAAAAATACCCCTCATTTAACAATATTATTCAAATTTATGGCTTCATGTTGCCAACAAAGTTCATAATATTTGATGAGATTTGCAAATTTTTTCGTTACATTCGATAGCTGTTATGTACAATTGATTTATAATATGCAAATGAATGTTAAATCGTAATTTAGAAATTAATTTAAACCATGACACTAACAAATTATCAAATTAAAGCAAAAATAAAGTGGTACTGAAATTGAACGAAAGTTCACGGAAAGAAAAATTTTCAGAGTTTTTAAAATCAAAAATTTCAAATTTCACTGCCATTTATGTGCTATACTTGCAAAAATTATCAATTTTCAATTTTGGGACAACATTTTTCTCTACTTCATCATAATAGGTCATTTAGTAGTTATATCCCTTAATTGACAAACAAATTTTACAAATAAAATTCTCAACAATATTTAATAACCAATTCGAATTGGATAATTCCATAATTCATTCAATTAATGAAGGATGATTTTCGAATTTCAATTAAAAATTAATGAAATGAATCGTTATCACTTGATAATTTTACAATATGTATATTTAAAATCTTTTATAAAAAAAAATTAACATAATGAAAATTTGTCTATGGACACAATAAACATATATTCACGACAATAACAATACTGGAAGAAGAGGGGGCACATTATCATTGCTTTCCTTTAAGATAATTAATTTCTTCAGGTGTTAATAAAAATAGGAGGAAACAAATGAAATTAGGCAGTTAAATTGCTTATTGAAAAACGTAACAAGCATAAATATTATTTAATTGTGGCAAATTTTCAGATAAAATTGAAAATTTTCGATAATTTTAATTTTTAAAATTTTTTCGAAAATGTAATTTAAAATTAAACTTTGACCACTTAATTGTTGCAATAATTATTGAACAATTTTTGTTAAGAAAATTATGAAAATTTTTATAAAAATTGAATACTTCAGATAATTTCAATTCTTTTTTTTATTATAAACTACATCAATTTTTTTTTCTCTTCTGTTTTACAACGGACTTTTTGTGTTTTCAATAAGAAAAATTGAATTTAATTAATTAGTACAGTATTTTTATTTCTATTGTATTGTACATAAATTTGATTTAGTTGGACAATAGATGGATGAAGTGGACGATTTACTATTTGCTTTTGATGTGGATTGGTCAGTTACTGTTGAATTTTGTGTTAAATTTTTGCTAGATTTTAAATTTGATTGTAATGGTGCTGTTTCCTTCCTAACTGTTTGCATTGGTGATTTGAGATAAGGACCATTGTAATCAGCTGTTCGTGATGATGTTCGATTTTTCGTTTCCATTGTTGTTGATGATTGTGATGAATTTTTACCATCGTTCTTATAACCTTTAAGTATATGTACAATGTAATTCATTAATTACTATCTTCTCAAAATTATTTAATTATTTATAAAAAAAAAAGTAGAAAAAAAAACGTTTTGCGAGTAATTAATTAATTCATTAATTTAATAGTAGTTCAAAATTATTTAGCTTATTATAAAATAAAAGAAAATTTTGAATTTTTTGAAATTCTAACCAAACGTATTACTTTGTTTCAATGATGTATGATTATATTTACTTGATTTTTTTGCTTTATTTGATCCAATATGTTTATTTGGTGAAATATTGTGAAGACAAAGAATTGGTAACTGAGAGGAATCAGTATGTTGTAGTAGAATACGATTATAATCCATAGAAGTTATCTTAAAATATGATGAAATACTAAGTAGTATTCATATTAACGAAACATTTCTTTCTTTCTTTTTTTTTCACATTTTATTTCAAATTTTACGCATTTCTCAATGAATAATTGGAATTCAAACAATTCAGTTGTAATTTTGAAGTTATAAACAAACTTTTTAATTTTCAATTTGAATTTCATGTAGTGATTTTAATCCACCAATACTTACAAGTTTTTTAGTTATACTATGAGAATTGCTGCTTGAAAGTAGTACTCCATTTTCTACACTGTATGCTTCAATCCAACCAGTTGAATTTGCTAGAACGTTCATATCATGATCTAACTTAAATAATTGAAATTGTATAATTAAAAAAAAAAAGTAAAATTGAAGTATAATTGAATAATTGAAAAAAAAATAAAAATTAAAAAAGTTAAATAAGTAATTGAAAAATAAACATTGGGAAAAAAAATGAAATTAAAATAGCATCAAATTTTGTTATAAATATTATAAATATACATGCAATATTTATGTACAATTATTGCAAATAATTATGATATATGGTATAAGTGTAAAAAAAAAAAAAAAAAA